ATGGGACCTATCCATCTGTATGGAAAACATCCCTTATCACCCCTAGATTCAAAACAGGACCACGTAGTGATATTATTAACTATAGGCCAATTAATTTGACATCCGTGCTCTCAAGAACCATGGAAAAAATCATCCACAAACAGCTACTATCATTTTTACTTTCGGCTAGTCTGATCAGCCCATCCCAACACGGGTTTATGACTAAACGCTCATGTTTCACATCGCACCTGGAGTTTTTTGATCAAATTACCCAGAAAAGAGATGTTGGTCAGTCAGTGATAATTCTTTACTTCGATTTTAGTAAGGCTTTCGACAGTGTCTCACACAAACTTCTTCTTTTAAAACTCTCTTCATTTGGCATACAGAATCCCCTTTTATCTTGGCTCAAATCTTTTTTAGAAGAACGTAACCAAATCGTTCGCTTTGGATCATGCTACTCTAAACCTGTGAATGTAACCAGCGGGGTTATACAAGGAAGTGTGGTTGGTCCATTACTCTTTCTCCTTTTTATCAATGATGTGTGTTCCCTCTTTCAGTATGGTAAGCCTTTTCTTTTTGCTGATGACCTGAAAGTAGTTTATTCGTTCTCTTCTCCCATGAAAGAAAGCTATATTTCAGCGGTAATCCAAGAGGAAATAAACAAGTTGTACGAATGGACTATTTCGTGGAATATGCCACTTAATGTTGACAAAAGTGGATTTATTCACATTGGTCGCTGTCTTAACTTAAATCTGACTGTACAGACACATACACTCAAACCTCTTAACACTGTTCGTGACCTGGGTTTAAGATATAGCAACAGTCTGAACTTTTCTGAACACATTATATCTCAAGTATCCAAAGCTAGAAAGCTCATCGGATTGATAATGATAAACTTCAATAATATCGAATCGAGATTGTTACTATACAGAAAATGTATCTTACCCATTCTTGAATATGGTATTTTAGTTTACAGTAATTGTAGACATACTGACCTGATTAGAATTGAAGGTGTTCAAAGAAGTTCACCAAAGCTGTTCTGGGGTATTCCGATAACAAAGACTATTACCAAAGATGTCAACAACTCAACTTAGAACCTCTTTGGATCAGACGTATCAAATTAAATCTTGTCTTTATCTACCGGCTTATTAAAGGTATTTCCTACTCTTCAGTGTCCACCCCTTCATACTCTATGATATCATGCTCCAATTTACGCAATAAGGAGAATATTCTAGCGATTCCAAGAACCCACACAAACTTGCACCAGAAGTTTTTCGTTATTCGCTACTCAACCATATGGAAGAGACTGAGAATGAACCTCCGTTGCAGTGAAACAACAACCCGGTTCAGAGGTCTCCTTGATGATTTTCTTACCGAGAGTGAATTGTGTCACCTATTGAATATCAATGTTTTTAATAATGATTTATACAAACAAGGTCCGTCATCCATCTAATTGACTGAGAAGCAAAATGTAACCTTTGAAACTTTTCACGTCTATTTTATTTTGTTTCTATTCATCTTAATATATGAAGTGTGTTTATGTTCGTATTTATCATTATTACCGTTATTAATATCATTATTTGTCCCCCGACACATTAGATATTCTTTTTATCTCTTCTTATGCTACTAATCATATTTAATTTCTGATTGCCCTTTGAAATCAATTGTGAATTTCGAAGCATCATTCTAAATTATTATTGCACAAATGTTTATACTAATAACCGGTTTCACTCTGTATATTATTACATAAATCTACATGTATTCAACCTCTGGTCCACCATATACTAAAGGGTTTATATTATTTTTCTAAATTGTTGGTTTGCTCTAGAGGTCGAGATTCATTACACGATTGTTATTATCATGGCTGAACCTTTTCACTAGATGTCCACTTCGTTTCTCTCTCTTTTTTCCCTCTAAATAAATATTATTCTTAAGATTACGAAGTTTGTAATTAAGACAATAGCTTGTGTTGCGTTTAAATTACTTTTCCAGACTCGTTTTATCTTCACTATGCATATATGATTCATAAATACTGATATTTCACTATCCTTTTCAATTAGTTGAGACTTTCATAGCACCACTCCAAACTATGACTGCACAAACATTTATTCCAGCGTCATATCTTACTGCAATAATAACTTGTTTTTTCTTAATTATTTTCCATTTTGTTTTTGATACATACATAGTCGTTTATTCTTGTTCTGTGTTCATAAACACGCCTATTAAACTATTTGCGTATTTCACGTCCCCTTTATTTCTATTCAATTATCTTCTTCCCTTCCTTCTTTAAACTCAGTTCAATATTCTTCTCAATTACACAGAACCTGATTTATTATTATCGTTCTATTATTATTACTCTCTTTTTTCAAATATGGGAAATATAATGCTAACATCATTGAACCTTGTGTATCGTTGCATTTCTAAAGAAGCCCGTAACGGTTCCTTCACAACAATTATGTTTGTGAATAAGAATAATAATCCCTGCAGATAGATATTTGACTCCATCTTGTTGGGAATATTTGTACTGATCCTCAAGTACCAAACCCTTTGGTGTTAACTGTTTCTTTCATTGTTTAGCGCGCTACTTGGCGTTAAAGAAACCTCTGACTGTACAGCACAGGCTGCACCGTTCAAGGTATTTTGTATTTTTTATATAATTTGATCTATTTCTTAAATGACAGTTTAAATTGAGCAGGGAGTTTGTGTTTTGATGTAATTTAATACGAGTATCTCGAAAACGCTTGGTACGCTACACAGAGGAACTTAGTCTGGCCTATTCGAAAAAATTTTGGTTCGTCAGTCCTGCGTTCAAACCGAATACTGGCAGTTCGGTCGTTACACTTGGTATTTTCCCATAGAACAACGAATCTTCAGATGAAAGGCAAACTTCCTGATGAGTGAACTCCGAACATATTAGAATATGAATGTAAAAGTTCATCTTCTATAAGGATCAGAAAACACAAAATATTCTTAAGTGTTCTTTAGTTACTTTAGCAATATACATACCGTAGAGATGTCTTTCACTTCTATTCATACAAATCCTTTCACACACTGGACACCTTGTTCATTAAAAAGTGGCATGTCTCTGATCTGTTAACTAACTAAATAAAGGTAAATCTATGAATGAAATTTATCGAGATTACTAAAGGAAGGGGAAAAATCCTGTCACAAATCATTTTAGCATGTGTTTCAATTCATCTTTAGTTTGAGGTTGATTAACTGAAGACTGTGAGAACACCATGCTCTGTCCTATCCTTATAACAGGTACAAGACAAACTTGAGAGCTATCAACCCGTAAACCTCACCAGCCTGGTTGTTAAAATTTTAGAAAAGGTTGTTTAGAAAGAGTTGCTTATGTATCCCGACGAAAACCGGATTCTTTTTAAAGAGGAGCATGACCTTAAACGGGTTATTCATGTTTCACAAACCTGCTAGTAGCCTGTGTAAGTTGATGCGCTCTTAAGGATCAAAAGTTACCTATGGGTGTGAAATACACTGACAAACTGACAAAATTCCTCGCAACGGACTGTTATATACGTTAAGTAATACCGAGATAAGAAGCAACCTATTTATGCAGATTAAGGACTCTCAACAAGGCGTCAACGAGAAAAATCGGTTAACTCAAAGTTGTCTAGCTGAGAGACAAAACTCAGCGGAGTGCCTCAGGGTAAAGTTTTAGGGCCTGTTGTTTTTCCTGTATAAAAATGACCCTCCTTGTCTAATATAGTCGTCGGTCTTGTTATATTCTGGCGATGTCCAGTTATGGAAATTGATAAGAAGTAAAGGTGATAGCTTGGAACTTCGAAATGCCCCACAGAAATTATCTGAATGTTTTAAAACTTTGGCAGTTGCCGATAAATACTTTCAAACGTGTTGTGATGCATATTGGTCATCAAGGTACACATAGATGCATGATAAATATCATTGAGTCACTTGTTGTCCAGACGCAATGACTTAGGAGTCATCAATAGCCAGGACTTCAAAACTACTACTCACCGTCGTGCGATAACCCCAAAAGGTTTTGGAACCTTATGGTCAATACACAAGGCTTTTAGCTATGTCGATGCTAAAACATTTTCGACCTTATATGCATTATCCATTCGCCCTAAACTCTGGCATTGCATGCAAGCAGCTAGCTACTGCCTAACGAGAAACAGTAAGCTGCTGGAAAAGCTGATTACCAGAATCGCAAAGCTCCCGTATGATGCTCGACTGGCTAAACCAGGTCTATTTCCCTTTTCATTTGGAAAAACAATAGGCGACTTGATTACAGTCTCTAAATTACTTAGGGATAAAGTTGCATGTGATATTCCCGTACTTTCCTTGTTTTATAAAACAGAATTTAGGAGAGCACTCTAGAAACGTTCACAAGCCCAATATAAATTACTTGTCAGCTAACTATCGATTTTCAAGTCAACCCACCAACGAATGGGACTGATTACCTTAGAACGTAATTAAAGCCCCATCGGTCGACGTTTTTAAAAGAAGATTAGATCATCTGATAGTATGGCCTCATGTTTCTCGTCCTATATCTGAACGTCTAATCTATGGACTACCAAGATGGCACCCATAGGTGTACGTACCAAACGTCAACCGATTCACGACACTGTGCGACCGTTTTCCATCGCTCTTGGTAGGTAGCTGCCCCACACTGGACATGGGTCACAGATAATGACCAGAACGCAGTATATTTCCCTATGAAGTTAGTCACTTGTAAACACCGAAGCTCCTGAGTCCAAAGTTCGCGAGAGGGAAAATGGATGCAAACTGCTAAGTAGTTGCATACTAGGACAAAGTGTCCGTTTAGTGCCTCCGGGTTTTTAGTCGAAGTCCATCATCGAGCGCTCTACGTTTTCAGTAAAACACCACACATAATCTCCCGTACGCACCTTCATCACAGACTCATCAAACACAAAACTAACTCATAGCAGATACTGGCGCTCTTGGATAAATCCATCTACCTGTTTTTCACACAAATAATATTTCAGCTACCCGTTACATCCCAAATGCCATTGTCTATTGGACATAATCTACATGGTGCATGATTTGTGTAGTTGCGTTACAATAACCTCACAATTATGACTAACGAACCTGACCCTCACCGAATGTGGTGTGACCTTAAAGCCTACATTGATAAAAAGCCACCAGATACCTGTTCTGCTGCAACACAGGATGAGTATTTTGTAGGAATCCAGAGTAGCTTTGTTCAGTTAATCACACGTTTTCCTCTTTTCACCGTTGAACATAAAATAGAGCTAGAAATGTGGAATGTTCTGTATAAAACTCAAATTAACTCACTACAGTCGTTGGTAAGCTTTCAAATATCTTTCGTCATTTTGTGTAAATAAACATTTAAGTCGGCCAGGTGCATGTAGATGACTTAAATATTCAAATAAACTTGCTTATTTTATAACTTCCTAATTAAACAAGAACGGGAAAGTACAGTCAAAAATCTCGTTTCTTGCAGGTTGTGTAGGCAGTTCTAGCGAAATCAACTTGTGATCAGGAAAGTAACTTTTAGTCGCAATGTCGTCTGTATTGACTTCAAATTTTCTTAAGCTATGTTGCCTATACTTTCGCTAAGTTCCCTTTTATTCCCCCATTCTTGTTTGTTTAGGTTGTGGATCATTAGGCTCCGGGTACTGTAGAATATCTTAGTATCGTAGATATTGTCTTAAGGAATTCACTGACAGTTATGCGTTGAGTTTTAGTGTACGTGACAGTCCGCTTTGAGTTTTCCACAAGTGACGCATGGATAGCACCCATAAAAGGTTGCACAGATATGTACCATACTTCACGACACAGTAAAAGTTGACGCTATCAGGAGGATAGAGTGAGAGTTGTTTAAACATCTGTGCATATGAAGGCACGAAAAATACTGTTCCTCATGAATAAGTAAGGCAGAGAAAGTATGCAACTACGCCGTCGGGATTTATTTTAAACTACATCACCCATAGTCTCCAAACACTGATTAAAAGTATTTCGTGAGTGTTACATTTTAAGGATCAAATTATTGATCCTCATAGAACTGTACCATACCTTGATTTACCTAGTTCTGGTTATTTTCCAACCAACTCTCATGTTAGCCAACATTCTACATCAACTCAGGAGTATTCAAGCATACGTAATACATCCTGTCCATTTCATTCTCTCGACTGGGATTTCTGCCAGTATTTCCCTAACTTTGTCTACTTATTATTTTCCATTAATATAGTACCTAAGCACTTAAGTCGTTAGTTGATTGATTCTAGTATCTATTTTATCTTGAAATGAATCGTCCGAAATTTTCTTTTCTAGTTAAACCAACGTTTATCCGGTACCGGAAACAGTGGATCTCTTAAATGTTCTACTATGGAGCTCAAACTTCGATTGGTTTTATTGTTAGATCGTGCTTCAGGCATCTATTTCAATCTTATCTACCAATTACTTCAACCAATTTCTGAACTTCCATGGCCTAAAGTGGTAAGAATGTCCTGGATATTGTATCATTTATAACCAAAAGGTTGTCACTAATTTTTATGAAGATCAGAGGTGTTGGATGGTTACTTGCTGATTTCGACTATTCGTAAATCCACGTTTTATCTCTATTTATTGTCAGTAATTGAAATGTAACCGACCAAGAGCAGTTATCGTGACATACTGGCAGGTTTTAGTTATCGCAGCGACCCATTTGAACGACACTAAAGAACAAGATCTCCTTGGAGTTCTGTCGTAGCAGCAATGCCGTTCGAAGGCGGTAGAACTAAGAAATTTGATGTCACAACATAGATTTGAGTTTCCCTTTGATGTCCTAGTGAAAATTCTTGCTACTCTTCGAACGAGATTGTGACGTATTAAAATAAATAAAAATTAAAAATTAATTATTTGAACACAGATATTGGTACAAGGAGGCATCAAATACATATGTGCCACACAAATGTCATTTGATTTGTGTGAGGGCTGTGATACTGCCTGGGTGCCCAAACAGAAGCAGGTGGTTTTCTTAGGAGGCCACACTCAGAGCCTTCGACTTACACGTCTGATCCACAAGGCAGTGGAGCATTATAAGAAGTTGCAGTCCCATGGTAGCCGGTGACCAACGATTGGTTCATACGCCGTTTGTTCCTTCAGGATACTGGAGCCCATATGCACCATTGGTTTGGAATCAGGCTTTTCCAACTCCCTAGTAGGTTTCCCCATGTCGACCAACCCGGTTAAAGCGCCGGGCATTCGTTTTTCGTCCTCAATTTCGTAAACAACAGTATTGCCACGAGAAGGCAGTGAGTAGGACTTCGTTGGCAGAGGCTGTATACGCGTGGCCACGTGAGAGCATTTAGAGAGAGAGGACTCCCCACTCTCAGCCGTACCAGGGCATTTGATACTGTGCAGTGTATCGTACTTTATACCTTTGTGATCTATGTTGTAAATCATTTATTTGGGGACTAATAGGAATCCAGATTTGGTGTTATTTAATCGAAAATTTTAACATCTTGTTCACGAGGACTACATGTACCGTACCAACTAGTTATGTTAGCAGAAAGCTCATTACCAACTTCTTTTCTTCGTCTAACCACAAATTGCTCAACAACGATCCGTAGTATGGCGATTTGGTCTGTGTACGACCGATCCTTACGGAATCCAATCTGTTGATGTCGAAGCTGGACATTTATTAAATCTTTCATCCGATTCAGCGACACTGTTAATACTTCTGGTACCGAAAGTAGTGTGAGGTCTTTGTAATTCTCACACTTCCTCAGATATTTCTTTGGTATATCTCGATGAGTTACTTTTCTTTCCAGTCTGTCGACGGCATTGTTTCTAGTTCAAAATCTTCCTGAATAGCATATGAAGCATGTTTTCAGTTGTTTCTATATGTGACTTCAGTGCTTCGGCTGGTATATTGTCAGATCCTACCGCTTTCCCACTCTTGACTTGTCTGATAGCCATCCTGATTTATTCCGTCGTTGGTGGAGTGACATCTATAGTAAGATGTGTGTGTGTGTTGCTTCGATGTCCGTTTGACCCAGTGGAGCTGGACTATTCAAGAGTTCCTTGAAATGTTCTACCCATCCTACCTCTGTTCCTGAATCTCAGTGATTGGCTTGTCTTCTTTGTCCTTGACCGCTCACTCTGGCTTACCATATTTCCTTTCCAGTTTCTTCGTTGTCTCACATTTCCTTGTCCTGCAGCTTTTTCCGCTGTCGCTGCTAGCTCTTCCACGTACTTCTGCTTGTCAGCTCTAACGCTCTTCTTCACTTGTTTGTTTGTTTCTGTGTATTCAGCTTGTGCCCTGACTCTCTCTCTCTCTCTGTGTTCCTTTTTGACTGCTGTTAATTGCTGTCTTCTTGTTCTTCCTTTCTTGAATCTTGTCCTGTGTTTCGATGGAAATCCCTTCCTTACGATCATGCTTGTTGTGGTTCAGCACCTCCTGTTACGTTGAAGGTAGTGCTTCTTTGATCCCTTTCTACTTGTCCTCCATCACAGTTTCTTCCTTTTTGAGATTTTGTAGGGCTGAGACCTGTTGTTGAAAGCTATCTTGGATTGGTTGAGTTTGTCAACATGTCGAAGGAAGGCTTTGTTGAACCTTTGTACTGCCGTCTCTCCAGCTATCCATTATTTTTTCAGCCTCGATTTCACCTTGGCAATCATCAGCTAGTGGTGTTCTGAAGCAACGTCAGCTCCTTTCCTGGTTCTCAAGTCTTTCATTGACCTCCCGAATTTTTTATTGATACAAATATGATTTATCTGGTTCTGTGTATTGTGATCCGGTGAGACCCATATAGTTTGTTGTATGCATTTGTGTGGGAATATGGTGCCGCCTATAACTATTCCCAGAATGCACATAGATTTGCAAATCTCTCACCATTCTCGTTCCTTTCTCCCAGTCAGTCCATGTCGTCCCATGATATCTTCATACCGTTTGTTGTCCATTCCAACGGCCAGTTAGGTCTTTCATCATGATGGTCAATTGCTTTCCTGAGCACTTCTCTATGATAACTGCAACCTCTCATAATACTGATCTTTATCATCTTCGTTGCTGTCATTGGTGGGTGCATAACATTGGATAACATTCATTGTGATTCCCTTTTTGTTTTGAAAGATGCTTTGATGACCCTGGGTTCATGATATTCCAATTCTGTAGGTGCTTTGAGTATCATCAGTGCGCGAAGCTTCTTTTTCACGACCAGGGTAAAACAGCCTCTCTCTCAAATGTAATCTTTTCTGTCCAACTTGTGTCCAATGGGTTTCGTTTATAATTAGCACTGTCAAGTTGTATCTCCCCATTTCCGCAGCTATTTAACTGGTCTCCTCAATCTCCTACACTGTCCGAACATTCTTATGTCTATGTTTATTGTTTCTCTGATTGTCAGAAGGAATATCGACCTCGTAATTTCCGAAGAATCTCGAGTTTCACTATAAGGCGTCACCATTCTTCAAAATGAAGATTGTTCAACTCCAAAGACAGAGTTTAAATGGTTTACATTTTTTTCTGGTTAGCGTTTCTTTAACAAGATTTCTTACTACGGGACGAGTTTGCTGATCACATGCCCAACTTTCCTACCTTATCCGGGCTTAGGACTGTCGGTAGCCCTAGAAGGGCTGCAAGCGGAGTTAAGAATAGTGTTAAATTTATTCCAGATTTTGTCATCTTTTTTTAAAAACTCATACACTTATCGTTCATGTAATTAATTACTGTCCCTAATAAGAGCACATTTAAAGTAAGTATGCTTTGTCAAGTGACTATAATTACGAGTGTACCGATTTTATAAGTGAACTTTTAGGTAAGGAAATTTTTTCGCTGGATCCTATTTACTTTTTTATTCGATGACACAGCAGATTAATTTAACTATGGTTTAATTTTCCCAAAAAGCCTATTATCCATATCGGTTTCAACTATTTTCTTTTGGTTAGCGTTTTTTTAGCGAGTTAGTTTCCTACGTTATTGGGTCGCTAACCCCATGCCTAATCATCCTATTTCATGCGGGCTTGGGACCGGCAGGAGCCCCGGACGGAGTTATCACTAATATTAATTGTTATTATGCTCATTTCGTTCGTCATACGGTACCATCTTGTCAACCCATCACTGCTATTTGTTTCCTCGTTTTGTTCTGTTTTCTGTCGACACAGATACTGGGTATCCTTGCGAGCGTCGACGGTATCTTAGACTCAGAGAATAATAAGAAGGGGAAACATGTTTCCGATTACCTTGATCTAGATCTGGCAACTTTTTCTGCCAACAAAGTATGCAGTAAAAGAATGAAAGATACTGAATCAAACAAATTTCTATCAATCACACAAGAATCAGACACAAATGTTATTGTACCACGTATACTATCTAGAGGTGATCGACTTCCGTCAGAGATTATGACAGTTTCTTCAAGTGTAGAAAACAGTAAAATCAGCGGCCAAGATATGAAATACCCCGACGAAATAGAAAACGAAAAAGAAAAAATTAATGTGATTATTAACCAAAGTTCTAATATTCACTGTTTGGATCAAGAAGCAGCTGTTATTTACCTAGTACATCACTGTTTAGTTCATCTTGGAGATATTGCACGGTTAGTCTATATGTCACGCTTTCTAATTGTGCTTTTTCAGTAACCATATATCTAGCAAATATCTTAACTTCATTTAAGCGATTAAACAGTTTGTAAACTTTTCACATAGTGAATCTATTTTAACCGTAGTTGACGGAGATTATTCGCATTTTGCCTACATTTGTAGTATGAAGAAGTGGTTTGAAAAGCTTTCTCAATGTTTACTTTAATCTTAGGATTAGTTAACAAAAGTTTGGTAAATGAAATGCTCATTATTCTTTCTATTTATATGCATAACATTAACTAGATAGGTCCAACAACTTGATTACATTTGACGTAGTGCTTTTATGATTTGTTAGGCACTTTTTTACTTCGTGACAATATGCACAACCTGTTGTGCGTGAATCAAAAACACAATAAAATAAGTATTCAACAATATTACTCATAAAATCACTGGTATTCAGCTTTATATCCTTAACAGTTTTCCTTATTAGTTCATTCAATTTGTCTTTCTTTTTCAATTATCCCACTCTATCTTCCCCTGATTTATACAAGTCCTTCGGATGTCGTTGTTAGTATTTATACTGACAGTTTTGAGTTTGATAATTTAATCAAACTTGATTACATACTTGTTTGTTTTACCTAGTAGAGTTTAATCCCTTCATTGAATAATAATGTTTTTGTACAAACAGTAAACAGTAATTTGCTAAAAATTGAGTTTATTCGAATGTTAAAATAAGAGAGAGTTCTGATTCTATTTTATTTTATTTGAACACATAAATATTGGTACAAGAGAGCGCCAATATATATGCGCCACACAAAACAATGAGAATTCGAAGAGAAGGAAAAAAAGTAAGGAGCGTAAAAAAAAGAGAAGAATAACGAAGAGGTTGGTGTAAGGTAGTGTAGTAATAATAATAGTAATAATGAGGGAACGGAAAGGTACAATCAGAAGAAATCTTTCAGTTAAGGGAAACACAACCACTTTTTATGAAGAAAGTAAAAGAAGGTTACAGCAAGATCGCCACTGGCTTCTATTCTGAGCCATATCTGATAACGTCTCTAGCCACTGTGTAGCATCATCTCTCGGACCCCAACCATTATCATCTCTGTGCCTGAACACACGATGCCAAATCTCTGCATTACTGACATGGTGTTGCCACTGGATGTCAGCAATCCTTCGGAGACAGCGATGATCGAACACAGAGAGTCGTCTAACGTCCTCAACTCGGAGAGACCAGGTTTCACAAGCATAGAGCAAGACTGCTCTCACCGACGTGTTGTAGATCCGACCCTTTACAGCCAGACTAACATCACGATGGCGCCAAAGGTGGCCCAGATTAGCATCAGCCGCTCTGGCTTTCACTATACGTGCATTGATCTCATCACTCATACCCCCACCAGTACTTATGGAACTACCCAGATACACGAACTTCTCGACTACTTCTATCTGCTCACCATCCAGGGTGAGTACAGGATTGGAATCCTGCCAGTCTTGTAGGAGTACTTTGCACTTCGAAGGTGCAAAGCACATACCATACCTACGGACACTGATTGCCAACTGATTAAGTGCGAATTGCATGCGTTGGGCATTATCGCACAGTAAGACAATATCATCCGCATACTCAAGGTCGAGAAGTCTTTCTCCAGGCAACAGATCCACACCACCATTACTTACATTCATCAGAGCCGTCTCCAGAATGTCATCGATGGCAAAGTTGAAGAGGAATGGTGAGATTGGGCAACCCTGCCTAACCCCACTGCTCGAATGGAACAATGGAGAGAGGTGGTTGTATGCCCTCACTCTGCCTAAGGTGTTTTTATACAGGGCTTTTAGGATGTTAATAAACTTCTCAGGCACACCCTTCTTCAATAGACAATCCCAGAGAACAGTCCTATCCAACGAATCGAAGGCAGCCCTGATGTCAAGAAACACTACGATTGTTGGCCTTTGATAAGTATGGCAGTGTTCTAACATTTGGTGGAGGGTGAAGATATGATCATAATGATAATAATTACAATGACAGTTATGATAAAATTTAGTTAAACTCGATTACAATCAGGTAAAACCAATAAAAGCATAAAAATGTTATTTTTATTAAGAAAACCAATAATAATATTGTTTTTAAAAGCTTGAATATTCATTATCCTGCTTCGGTTTGGGCACGTGGGCAGTATCACAGCCCTCACACATATCAGATGAGATCTGTGTGGCGCATATGTATTTAGTGCTTCTTTGTACCAATATCTATGTGTTAAAATAAATAAATAATAATATTCATTATGAACATAGAGAAATTATCGTTCGAAAAGGAAGGTTCAATGTGATAAGATAAAATAGGCTTGAGTATTCATTTCAGTTTCAACAATTTATCTCATCATCACACTAAATCCTCCCTTTCCAGTTATAATTTATTTATTTATCTTCATGATAAATATTTAAGCTCTCAATAGCACTATTACTATAAGCAAAAACTGATCAATTGTAGTCCTTAACATCAATAAGAAGTATCAAATAACCAATACAAAAATGAATTAAACAATATTATTGTTGTTTAAAAATCCCCATCAATTTAAAACACAGATATATGAACGAAGAATATTCTTTTCAATAAATTCTCTTCAAGTTTTAAAATTATATATCTAAATTAATGATCTAAAAAGTGGTCAGATTTAAAGTAAAGTACAGTGTTTGGAATTATAGGATGTTAATTTATGATTGTTAAATACAATAAAACTGTTAATGTTGAAATAACGAATTTATAGTGTTAACTTGAATAGGCTTATACGTTAAATGGAATTATGAGATTTATGATCAGAATAAATATGGATCAGATAGGTTAAGAGGGATATTAGTTCAATTTCAGATCAGATCAAATGTTTAGTGGAAGACTATTGTGTAAAAATTTATATGAAATTATTAGAAAATAATGTGCGGTAAATATTAATTAGATGGATCATATATTCAAGAGATTAATAGCGATGTCAAACCAATGATAATAATAATACAAAGATATGTTCATAAAGATAAAAAAGAGAATTATATTTGACTAATAATGGTTGTAAGTCAAAGTAGATCATCCAATAGTTAAGATTACTATTGAGTGATTGGCACTGAGGTTGGCTACTGTAAGAGCGGCAGTTGAAGATACATATAGCTTCGGTATTTTAATCTGAATGGTCACTGCTTCTTATTATTATTAATTCCCTTAATAAAAATAACATTTTTGTCTTTATTTCTTTCACATCACTCTTAATGTGTTTGGCGAAATTGTATTAAAACTATTATTATTATTATTATCGTTTTGAGAAATAATTATATATTTCCGATTGTGTAGCTTTCAAGTTAGTGGAAAAGAGAACCCTTCGCTAAACCGATTTTTCTTACTTTATGTCTCAATGGGTATATTCCGTTTACTATTCGAATGCTGTCATTTTCACAGTTTTTAAACTGAGCATCACATTTTTAAATTAATGTTCATGAAGTCCACATCCCCAGTAGCCCATCTAAAACGTCATATCCAACAATCCTATCAATACAAATTTAATGTCCCTTGCAATCATGATCGGTAGCAGTAAGTACCAAACTTATCCTGTGTTTTCTTTTCTTAGGCTTATTCCCGATAGTTGGTGTTTTGAACAGGAATTCCTAGCTAATACATCTAGTGGCTTGTTTTGAACTACTTCTTGTTTAGCTTATAGTATATATAGTGATGAGTGTTATATTCACCAGGATAACCCACCCGAGGTCGATTACAGTCAGAAGACTGTCCCAAATTTCCAGAATATTCATGTATATTTACATGTAAATGAAGAATAGTTTTACAATAAATAACGATTAGCTTATTCTAAGAAATTCACATTCAAGCCGGAATTTTAAAATCCACGAATTCAAAGGTGACCCTTAGAGGATTCACAGAAATGCATCTTCAAACGCCCTCGAAATAAATTTCTCGCATCAAATCTGATGTTAGTTTATTTTTACCCGGTCGATGTTCACTAATAACCCAACCGATAAGCTGTCACATCTGAAAAATATATTGGGGAACTGGGTACATTGATATTTCGATGTGCATTATTTCTAAAATTGTTCATGAACATTATCTATTATGTTTGAAAAGAGGCTGCAGTGAATTCGTAGGAAGCTCATTAATCGAATACCTCATAAACACGGTTCATTCTATCAGAAACACGTTATTCAAAGCCATAACAGGGTAGATGTAGGGTTACCAACGGCAGTGAGTTTTCGTATTTTTCGAATTGTTGAAGCTTCCCCCTATCCATTTGGAAAAGCCAGATTTATGCGTTCGAAACAAATTAGTTCAAATGATTCTTCTGCCATAGTCTTCACCTTCAGTTTTCCAAAGCAATCTCTTCATCTACCTCTCCTGTTATCTTGACGTTTTTTTTACTCATCATTAGTTTGCTTGTTTACTCATATATTTTCGAGTTCATTTCACTTCAGTCCTAGGGTTTATCTTATTCACAACCCACTTTCACGGTTATTCATATTTATGTAAATTCTATGAAATTCTTGATGAATATTTAGTCGCCACTGTTATTATCCCTAGATTGCTCCTAGTTCCATGTTCATTAATTATTATCATCAACAAACATATCTTCGATTAACATTATGAAAAATGTATATGTGTACAATTGTACTGGTTTGAGAGTTATTAGTTTGCGTGAAACAGATCTTCTGGCAATATATTTTGTTTTTGTAGTCTAATCTCTCAAGGCGTATATTTTTTCAGGTACCGTCAACAGCCAAATGTTGCCGCTGGTTATTACCTTTGGTCTTGGGTTGTACACCCTGATTCTGGTCATTCTTTCAACCAGTTAGCTATTTTAGAAGCAACTAAGGTAGTTAATCATCTTCTTTTACATATTTGTGTAGAATTTGCAAACTGTTAAATAAAAATTTAATTTGTAATTAAGTTTCTTCACAGTTTTAAAACATTGGAGCACTAGGTGAAAATTTCATCCTATTTTCAGACTTCTAAGCAGTCCATACCTATGAACATTGAATTGAAATCTAATGGTGTATATTGTCTGCTTCAATCGAGTCACAGCGTAGAGTAACAATCATTCAATGTCTAGTGTGGAAGAACAGTCTTACTCTTGACAAAGTTGGATCCCATTAGGCATGGTTGCTCATTCGAACTTCAGAATGAGTTCCAAAGCTACCCATTTGTGATTGACTTTCAACTGAAGAGTTGATTGTATCTTAATAGGTGTCATTACCAAGGTTTGATTTGATAATTTCGAATAAATTGAGCATTGGGTTGATTGTTATAAATAAAAATAATATATTTGTAATATCCCAATGAGTAGAAAATTGGATTTTCTAAGAGTAAATCCAATTTTCTACTCATTGGGATATTACGAATATATTATTTTTATTTATGATTGTATCTTAAGCTTGAAATCGGAATATGAACATAGGCATACCATTCAATCGTTTATTTTCTATCATCCAAAGAGTTTTTGCAGAATATATCAAAGTTCAGACTCGGAAAACTTATTTCTCACTATTTACTTAGAAACAATGTTATATGTAAGTTGATGGCACCACTAAAGTGAGCGTTTGCATATTTAGTCAGATTTATCGGGTGATTCCAAGATAAAATATAAGTGACCTTATAAAACTCCAGAATTGTAAATAAAAGTAAAATAAATTATCTACAAAGATGTAATACTGTAAATACATTTGGAATTGGAATTTTCCTAAATGTCCAGCTTTATGATACATCTTACTGTAAAATACACCAAATATAGAATAGGAATTTAGGATAGTTCAGAAGAACCAACAAGGAACGGTGATTAGTAGACAAACAAGCAATTAAATCTTAACAAATAACATATCTGTAAGAAGTGTTCTTCATAGTCATCCCACAACAAATTAAAGTTTATCATTATCTAAGTCATATATGTAAATAATAAAATGGCCAGTAATAATAAGACAAATCACAAGTACACCATCAAGAATGAGGCTTTTAGTCAGTCGATCAGTCATGATCAACAAACAGCCTGGTACATATGTGCTTTGACTCAAGTCCCCATACAATATTAGCACTAGATGAAATTAACATGATAAATCCTAAAAGTATTGCATCACTAATATTAATGAGAGAGACTGAGCATTATGAATATTATTCGAAAGGATAAAGTGGAAATGTGTTATAACGTTGTGGCCTTTGTTAATAGATCACGAGATGATACCGCCAATTAGAGTCATCGACTTATTGACCGGACCAATGATGCATAAACCAATACGAACAGCCTAGACTCCTTATTGGTCCCTTGAGATAGCAGCTTTTCGCCTAACCCAGTCGATTCAGTTCAGAACGCAAATATAAGTCTCCGTTATATGGAATCGTATATTTCAAACAAACTTGGTTTATATACAAGTAAAATCAGACCACATCACACCATAAAAGAAAAATTAACATTTGTACAATATCAAGCCAAAAAGTGGTTGTGATTGTGAGAAACTGTGACTAATGGATTGAGAATAACTTGAGAATAGTAAATCATATAACAGTAACCAATAGGTCAAATAAAAGCTTATAATAAGAGGAATATAAATATATAGTTTAGTTTCTTAACAGTTATACAATAAGAATATATGTATAATTTTAGTTCATAAATAGTTTTCAGCAGTTACTCGTAGTTTAATCTTCACTAGGATATAACAAAAGGTATATATAAAGAGATACTGGAACTCAAGATCTAAATTAATATAACGAATGGATGTATCTGTTAAATCGATCATGATTGCTGGTTTGTTCTAGTTTGTATGAAACAATAAGGTACCTTACAAACTGTTATATAAGTTTAAGGAATAACAATACAGTTTAATGACATAAACTGTCACTATTTCTTAATATTATTTATAAACTTGTTTCCGTATATATGTATATTTTTTTAAATTCTAGCCTTTACCTAGAAGATGTATGGATGCTTTATTTTATTACTATATACGTGCACTAGCATGTCTACATTCATTTCCTGCTTCTATGAATAATTTATCTAATGTATTGTTGGACTATTACAAGTCATTTGAGTTATCTTCTATATATTTTAATGATAATAATAATCATGAGAAACTACCTACCGATTCAACGAAAGATGTAATATTAAGTGCAAAACGCTGGCCAAAATTTACCAATCAACAAATACGAACACTTATACAGTTTTATGCAGCACTCCATTTGCATACAGGTACATAGTATAGCTTATTATTTTTATTACGTAATAAATCACACAAATTGCACTGCTAATGCTATCAGATATTTAAACTACCGATGAAGTTTTGCCACCCGTGAAATATCGACTTTCTGGTGTGTAAAACAGTTTAAAATATTTTGACCATCAGTATGTCCCTACATCGTCCTTTCGATACAGTAATTATTTCTAATTACAAAGTGTAATAACAGATATCCTAAAAAGTGTTTTATGGATAGGACAGACAATAATTCAATCGTTTTCTTAATGCATAATTATTGCATATTTATTCACAGACAATGAGATGTTGGCCCTACGTTGTGTAAAGTTGAAAGTGCTTCACACTAACTAGGGGTTTTCGTGGCTGAATTAAACACCATATTATCACTAATAATTTACTTATGGTTTAGCTTATTGGTGATATCAGTTCAATATATGTTTGTGGGGGATTTTTGAGGTTTATTTAAGTGCGAACTCATCAGGTCTCATCCTGTCTGCAGTACACGGAAAAGGGTGAGAGAATTCAAACTATAGCCTAGTAATCGACTTTTAATTGATTCTGTCTATGAGTCAGCTATTGTTCATTATTTTGTGATCACTGGGATTGTTTGTAACTGTTTGAAAAAATATATCATGTTATTTATCTACCATTATATCTGCATTTGACGAAGAAAGCAGTTTTGTTGGTCAGTATTTTAAATCTCAATGATCTATGTATATGACCTCACAATTGGAGGCAATACTTTTTTCAGAATCTATTTCTTTTACTCGCACCATATTAGATCCTGTCAAACTGATAAAAATGGCTGATGATCTTTTCGAAAATATGAACAACTGGAATAGAGTAGAATTGAACAAAAATCAGTTGATACGTATATTGTGTATACATTTCTATTTAACTGATCAATACTTATCAGTAAGTTGTTTTATTTTATCTGTTTTTACAGTGATTTCGTTCTCTATTTTCATAGTAATAATGTGTTGACTCCGTTGACTGAATTTCATATACGCAATCTCTCCAATGTATATACGAGCTGAGGTCCTAAAAACTTCGTTTCACAAAATTTATCTTACAAGAATTTTAGCCACTTTAAAATACTTATCGGTTGCAATAATTCCCCTTTTCTGTTTCCATTGTTGCAAACCTCTATGGGAGTCCTCGGAACCGAAGTTCTACAGCTGACTCGTTTTCTATATTTCTATTTCGTTGTATTTCATCCGATTTATATCATAGTGTGGTATGTGCTACTTATGTCGACGTAAGTAGTATATAACGCTAGTCAGGAAGAGAATGGTGAGATCGGGGAGGGAAGAATGGGAACAGAAAGTAATTGGTATGGAAATGTAGGAACAATAAAGTTTGAGACAATTAATGAACACTTTTATCAAGTAACTCTGTAACTTTGTACTAAAAATAATCGGTTGTCCTCATCTACGTTCTCCCTCACTACAATAGCACTCTCAATGTATGCGTTTGTTTTGATAATATTTAGTTATTATAAGCAGTGTAGGGGCTGCGACAAGTATGTATTGGTTTAAGTCGTTACATCACAACACAGCTAGATTAATTTATCAACACAAATACCATAGTAGTAGAGGTAACATTGGTAAAGATTAGGAGTAGGTAATTTGGTTCTAAAATAAACGATGAGTTGGCAGGGTAAAAAGCATAAGTATCTTAAAACGAACAGGAAGTTAATCTGAGACATTGCTATCGACCCAGAACAATGTCATTTAGTGTCTCCAACCATTAGTTGCGATAATCGAAAGGACTCTGACTAAAACAGTCCTTATCTACATACACGGCTCAGTCCAACGACTTCATGAACTAATTCCACATTTTGGTTTGATTTCTCTAAGCTTTCTTCCAACCAACTTCCACACCACCAAACATCGTGCATCTATGTAGGTGGTTGGGCATAGATGATACTTATCTCACTCTCCTCATTCAACAAAGACTCAAAACCTCATAAACTGACTTACCATTTCTTATTTATTGCTCTGCGTCTAACCTCAACATTACTCACCCGGTAGCCGCAAAATGCACGAGTAATGTTTCGAACGCACCTGTGATTATGTGGTGTATGCTACTTATACTAACAGATATAAGTAGCATGTGGCCACAATCCGAATTAGAATGTCTGGCAGCAGAAGGGTGAATTGAAGAGAACATAAAGGAAGTCGGAGAGAAATAAATAAAAAAAGAATTAGAGGAATGATGAGGTATGTCAAGGATAACGCAAAGAAGATGTGCAAATGGTGTATTTAATATAGGATTTTCATATTTTACTAAGCCATTGTATAATTTTGCATTAAAAAATAAATCCGTTTTCCCACTGAGTTCTTGTTCACTACAATAATACTATTATATATATTTCTCAATTCTAGGACACGAAATCAAATCTATCATCATTTCAAAAAATAGATGGAAAATCTTTTATGCTGAATGAATATCAAACGGGCACCGCTCTACTCTTATGTTTAACGATTTATTTAATTAATTGGATTACTTCAAGTATAGTTGGTATTACATCAAAAATAGTATCATTAAATAAACAGATTTTAAGTACCATACCAAATGATGAAACAATCACCAATGTTAGTAACAATGACGATGTCAACAATGATAATAGTAATAATTCGATCAATAAGGATGATAATTCCACCTTACTTGTTTCTTCGACTGCAAACATTAATCCTACTTCTAATGATAATAATAAAATTGACATAGCAGCATGTAAACTGGAATTATTAATCGCATTGAATTTATTATTCCTCTGGTTTCGGTCAAATCGCTTCACTGAGATTAATGCAGGTAATCACATTTAAAAAATTTATTCGCTTATATAGTATTAGTTTAAGTAGTGAGTAGCGACAAAATATCCATCATTAAATCAAATAGTTAGTATTATAATCATTTTAAGATGAAATCTTCGTACCTGTTATAAGTATTTGCACAGATATCGGTGTCAATATTTTTGTTATAAATTTAAGCTGTTGGATATTTTGAAGAGTTGATTAATTTATAATGAATCCGTTTTAATATATCGTTATTACGGAACCCCATGGGTATATTAAAACTGTACATTTATATTAAACTCACCTTTAAAAAATACAGAGACTTATCTGTTTATTTCTTTCTACAAGAAACCCGTCTTCAAGAATTTCCTAAAGTATCCAAAAAAACTTTTCTTTACTAGTGTTGTTATGACGTATGGTGTCCGATTCTGATACAGATACATAAACTCCTTATACGCAATTCAAGCCCCCCAACCTGCTACTTATTGTGAAGACTAAGAGTAGAGAATTTAGTTTATTGGGTTAAACCCATTCACAATCATAAGCGTATATATCAAGCGAGAAAGAGAAGTAAAACCATGTTTTCATTAATCACATGCGCTTGTCATTAAAGGATTTTTCAATGACCCACTATATCAGGTGTTATAATTGATAAATGTTTCAGTGTTACTCAAGATATTATTGTTAACATTAAATAACTTTATCGTTCTATTTATCGCTTTTCAACAGTAATAATTAAATTGTAATTACAAATGATCATTTTATAGAAATAATGTAGAACTCACGTACCAGGTAGACACTGAAAACAAATATCCCTTCACATACTAATCACCATGCTACATGTTAACGAGTTCTTAAAATCAGATTTCTCTTTCTATGTTTTATTTAGGGAATAAATCATCTTATCAACTGACGGATAAATTATTTCAACTATTAACTCCTACATTCACTGAAAATACAGTGTACTTTTTAAACAATTTACTTAAACACTATCAGCCGTTATTACGTAATGTCGATAATCATAATGTTAGGCAAAAACAACCTACTAATATACCTGTACAAGTAAACAACAACAATGAAAATACAAATGATAATGTTAATAGCAAAATAATCGATGCTGATATTGTTGAAGGAGAACGTGAAAATTCTTTTCTCATTGAAAAACATGTCGATCCTTGTGATGATAGCAACCGTGAGAGTGAAGTCCATAACATCACTCCCATAGATTGGATTCGTTTGATGAAGCTGCCTGAAATGATCGTATTACAAGTAACTTAATTTTGATTATTTATTAATACACTTAGACTATGCATGATATTGTTCTTTGCTCAGTGATCAATCAATGTAAATATCTCATCCTTACAGGTTAGTAGCAATCCGAATCGCTCAATGGTGACAACTTAGACTATGAAACTGGGTAACCCAGGTTTAAAATCCACGCCGGAGCACCAGCCCCCACAAGATTGCAGGTACGCGTTGGTGACGAATGACAACTAGCATGAAACCTAAATCAAACGTAATTCCTTCCAGACTACCTCCAACCTCCTAAAATCAAAACATTGTGCATGAGATGTTAAGTCGCCTAAATTAGTGACAACGCTACAACTTGATCGATAGCGTTCGATCAGTATAATAGGCTAGATAAATATAAAATTGGTCACTAGTCAGTCAATTGTTTTTATTAACAATTATTCTTTTAGTGTTCACCTTATGTTGTTAAGTTTAAATTAGATATTTACAAATTGTTTTATCCCTTAGCATATATTTTGGCATCAATCACATTATTACAGTCCATGAAGTCACTGAATATTTATCTAACCCATGTAAGGAGATGCAAACTTCTTCAGTGGATTCTGATTGATAAGCTTATATGATTATTCATCTTAACTGAAATGGTCCGAAATTCGGAATATATTTGATAACTAATCTTTAAAATTTTGTTAACAATTTCATGCTTCACATTTAATGTAAACTGGAATATGCGTCATTAAATTAATCTTCGCAGGTGAACTCACATTTGTCTTTCATTAGATCCTGAGTTTTATCTCACATATATTTTTCTTTCAGATAATATTGTCTGTCCCTAGTCTTCCTTGTTACCATTATTGCCATCACTACTTCTAATACCCTGATTTTTTGCTTTTTTGATTTCATGTTCGAACTTAAACTGATTCACATATTTGTCAGGGTAGCCGTTCCGTCCTATTTTATGGCAGTGAAACATGGCCGGTAAGAGTAGAGGATATTCGTAGGTTATTAGTATGTGATCATAGGTGTCTTCAAAACATTGCTCATATATCCTGGGACCATCGAGTAAGTAACTCAGTTGTTAGGAAACGGGTACTAGGTAAGGATGGCAAATCAATTGATGAAGTAGTGAAACTTCAGCAGTTGAGATGGCTGGGACACGTGTTACGTATGCCCAACGACCGACTTCCTCGACGTGCGATGTTCAGTGGTATAGGAATAGGTTGTAAGAAAGCTAGGTTTGGCCAGACCAAAACATGGCACAAGTCCATGAAGTCACTGACAAGTAGACGGAGTCATGTTGGTAGGTGTAGACTACCTGGTTGGGGACCGCCAAATGATAGAAACCGATGGCTAGAGACCCTAAATGACATGGCTCAAAATCGTTTGCAATGGCGCAGGTGCATACACTCTTTGTGTTCTTCCTAATTTTAATGTCCTGATTCCTCCTTGTCTCTTTTTTCTCTTCTTAAATTTATTTCACTGGATTATACTCTTTAAATAACATCTCCAAACCCTAGTCTTCCTGATTACTGCTTATACTCTGTCACTACGGGATTTGAATTGACAACTGCATCTGTGTGCTAATGTGGTATGGCAACTCAAACTGATGTACGTACGTACGAAGTTCTACGTTGTTACTGACTGACTGAGCCGTCACGGCTGAGAAGTATAGAAGTAGAAAGGTTTCACTCGAGTAATAAAGATCTATTGTTTTTGGATTGTTACAAATACTTTTTCTAGTTATTGATCAAATCATTTGAATTATGTAGAAGTGGTTTAGTGTCCAAAATGTCCATATATTCATTTCTAATTTACAAGTTTAAGGTATATTCCTCACGTACCTATTTTAGTGTGTCAATATTTGGGTAATGTCGCTAGGCCTGGACAAAAAAATAATGATCTGAATTTGAATGCACGAACTTGTGCTCAGTTCCTGATTTTTTTCAGCAAAGAAGTCTTAATGTTTCTTTTTGCTAATATTCACAGGGTTTTCAACCACTTCATATACCAACACAACGTTCATTATGTAGTTCATCAACAGATTACAATCCTGTACATCCATTCCTTCTTGATTTCTCTAATGATAAACTAGATGAATTAATAATTCCAAACAACGAAAATATGCACGAAACTAGTGTTCCAAAGCCCAAAGAAGTTGGATTGGAACGTGTCCTGTGCCTGTTAACATCCGCTCGGTTGGTTTATGTGCATTCTTCTAAAAACGTTTCACTAAATGTTTAATGTAAACAATGTTCTGCAAATTTTTGTTTCTTAGATTTTAAATTATCACTATGGTAGGAAAAAAGCAATATATATGTTCCATTTTTCTTGATTACCACTACACATAAAATGCATCTTCGCATATGTGTTTACTCAAAAGACAATTGTAAGTTAGTAATTACTTTACAATTATTGAAATGGTCGTCTGACCGATTGATATACAAAGTATTGTAATAATTGCAAAGACAGTCCCAATAGAAATTGGTTTGTTAAGCGTCCAAACCAAACGCAACTCTTTACAATACTATTGAAATCTAAAATTCGGCACACGCTGAACCAATTCTGTTTGTAAATTATATCTTATTATTAGGCTGTTACTATTATTATATTGATTCATAGATATTGTTAGATATTATTTGTCAGTATTAAGAATCATAACACTTGCATAAAATTACTGCATTATATGCACAATAAACATATCGATGCTGTTTTAGTCAATCTGTTTTATTTTATATCATCGTATCACTTGTCGTTCTGATAATTACTACGTGTATGTTTCCTCTTTCATATATGTGTTTTTTTTTCTCGTGTACTATTCACTACTTTCAATCATACCTCTGAGTAACAACTCTTTACATTTTTGTTATACTTCGTCCGTGGTGCCATTAGCGTCTCCGATCCCCCTGTAAGGGTCTCAGAATCACAGTTTTAGGTCTGTTGAGTTTAGCTCACCAATTTCTGTTGCGGATGTGTTTTTTCAATTATTCTCATACTTTGGATATCAATCAACCCAACGACTGTTACTACCAGGATTCTCAGCATTGTCTAGTTTCTTGGAGGCAGAACACTTTATTTTAGCGCACAACTCAAAATATGCAACCAGCAAACAGTAAGAGAGAAGCGAATGTATCCAAACAAATATGTAAGCTGATGAGTCATACTCAACTAAATATGTATCTAGATGATTTCAGCAATTAACGTGAAGTCTAATTACACAGAGACTTAAGGCTTAAAATAACTTGATTTTCATGTCAGTCACAAGTTAATTCACAAGCTCAACTCATTCGACCATGTACAAACCTGCATATATATATATATATATATATGAGCTGGTTCAGCTCAGAGACACCTTCAACATCTTTGTCCTGAGATACAAGTATTTCCTACAATACATTCATGTCGTTGTACTAATTTAGTTTTGCAATTTGGTCTAATGCACTTATATGCGATTCATCCAATCAATTAGTCTGCAAGTAATCTAGGACCGGGCAAATATTTATTATCCGTTCAAGTTGCTAGAGATCTAATTTGCTCATACTAACATTATTATCACTAAGTGTTTTGTCTGTTGTTGTTTTTTAATCTGATATTATTACGTTTTGGTGAAAATAGATATGTAGCTCTAATGTTCCCATCCCTGGTAAATTGGATTCCGAACTTTAGAGATAAAAATCCAGATTCTACAGAAACAACTGTCTGGTTTGGTTCATTCTGTTACAAAAGTCATTCCTCAAGCAATTTAAAAGACATGTTCAGTGTACTTAACAAACCTACAACTATTACTGCTATTAATAGTAATATTAAAGAGACTCAGTCAAATAAGACAACTTTAAATAGCTTTGAAGAGCTACGTTACACCGACACTAATCCTGTGCATTTTAACGCTGTGCTTAACAATAATGAACAAGTTAATCCTGAAGAGTCTGACACACAAAAACCGATAAACTTTGATATGTTGAATGTAAGTAAAACAGTTGATTAAACATTATTCTAAAAATTAATAATTCATTTATTATTGTATTTCCTATTAATCTGTGTTGATGGAACTATGACTTAACAGTTACAACACTCCGATTTTAGGAACCAGATCACATGTTTGAACCCCTTTTACTTCTGCATGAATAGTTGGACGCAGACCTGTACTTGATATGCAATTTCTAAGAGAAACACCTACAAAATTTGGGTGTTGGAAGTGAAAAGCACCAGTTTTAGGACCCGAAATAAACAGCAACACTGTGATCCAGATGCGTCCAGCAGACGAGTCCCAAGTAGGACGAAACGCCCATCCTGGATTCCCATGCTAGCTAGCATCCATCTTTGCCTATCTACAAGGTTATGTTTTGTTTAGATCAGGAATTTTAAAAAATGTCAAGTGTATTTATGGAGAAAATGAATAGGTGATCATCAGATATATAAATACATTAGGTATAACTAGTCGAAAAGAAATGCTCAAGTTTAAACTCTGTAATTAATGGTAAAAAAAATAAACGAAACTTCCACCCATAAATCAATCTACAAAGAAATGACCTCTACGATTCTGCTTTTCTTCGTTTATCTCTTTTGGTTTAACCGTATAGATATTCGTCAGTATAGGGTTGCGGAGATTGTTGAGCTTCATTGAAATCGTGAACCGACCTATGTTAGACCATCACTGAAAACCTGGGAGCGTTAGACTACCGTTTTGTTCTAGTATGGGACTCCTCGGCAATTTAGGTATTCACCAACGATACTCCTAATCCAAACTTTCTTCTATACTTTGCAAAAAATTAAAGTCAAGAAGCTTACAGCCGAAAATACTACAAATACAATAAGCTTATCAAAACAACTATTAATGAGAGTTCGAAACCTCCGTTTGTTGATATTCAAGACTGTAATCGATCGGTCTCTGCTGTCATATATGCATTCTAAATCGATTACATCAGTATGTCGTCATTTTTTAAATCCCAATATATTTGATATGCAGAACAAAAAAAATACGTTCCGTTCTATTTAGAACTTGTTAGGTGAATATACCTCCACATTAGATAATATTTTGGCTGTTCTAAGTGAACATTACTACGTCTGAGTCTCAATGTAAACATCAACACTGAGATGAAGGTTCACTTAGCTGACTAGTCCCAAATAAAATGAAAAGCTCATTGTGAACACCCAATGCCAGCCACATACGAAATATACCAATTACTAGGACAATGTTAATTAAAAGTTCAATTTTAAGGTTATCAACCTTTATTACTTGGAATAATTCCCTAAATTTTTCACCATAGGTAGAATTAGATAGTTTGTTCATTTTGCGCAACTCATTTCTTTAATAGACTGTTCAATGTATGCACTTCATGTGTTTTTTCGCTTAACAGCAATACCGTTCTATATCTAGTATATACCTGATACTCTTATTGTCTAACATTGTGTAGTCTTATTAAACCTTCAAATATATATAAGCATTTCTAGAAATTACATTTCACTACTGTGTTCATATTTTAATGAGAAGTAGAAAAACTGAATCTGATATTAATTATTTGTCATTTCTCTTTTTTTTAAATAAATATGAAGCCTAATCTGCCTGAATCGGCTCCTCCTTGTGGTAACGGCAATGAACAATTATCTAATATCCCTGTAACTATCCATCATAAAACAATAAAAACTAATTCAATAAATAATCAAACCACAGAATCATCATCTCCCGAAGTAACTACATCAGACGATTTTGTAGTATCGTCAACTACATCATCACTACCTTCCTCATTACTATCTCATGTTGGGACCTCTGGTGGACTTATCATGAATGCAGAGTTAGCTAAATTTATTCAAGAACAAGCCAGCCAGGTGTGTATGTTTGTTTTTCCTACACTAAATTTAACTAAGTGTTACCATGTATAAAAGGTTGCAGAGGTATGCTTATCTAGAGCTATCTACACAGCACCTTTTGGAGTGTTTTGATGACTATAATATATCAGATTTACGACACTGATTGAATCTATATTCCAAGCTTTCGTGCTTATTTTATTTACCGATCCTTTATATTTATTTACTTCTATCACCATGGAATTGTGTGCATCTTGGTCAAAAAGCTTCGTTTTCACATAACGAAAACATAGAATACGTGGGTATACAAATTGATCAATCGACTTGAGTGGAAAATGTCCAATTACCAGAAAATATAATACATGAAAGCTTGTCTCCGAAAACCTATCGATGTTTGGTAGTAGGAATAATACTTAATGTATTTGCAGTAGACTCCAGACACTGATATGCAAATTAAATCAAGAAATATGGAAGCAGGATTATCTGCTAAACAGAACATGATTTTGTACTTTATATTGAGCCTGAACAGTAAGAACTATATTTTTCTGTAGTTGTTGAGATTTTGAAAAAAGATGGGTTTTAAGCAGTTGACCCTACTTGAACAGATTATAATCAACACCATACATCCCAAGTAACAGTTACCATGCTTCTTAACAATCAGAAATCAAGTGTCTTCTGTAAAATCATGTATACATTTTTTCGATTACTGATCACTTATTACGAATCTCAGCGTGGATTCAAAAAGCTCGCCTAGCTTTTGCCAACTTGCATCATACTTGGTATAGCAAACATATCTGTCTCCCAACTAAAAGGGTGGGTATACCTAGCATCAGTTCTCTTTGATTTATTTTACAGTAGCATTAAAACGTAGTCCTTAAAGCTACATACCATACGATTACTAGTTTTTGATTATAAGTGTCTTCGAAAACATTTCTCGCGTATTTCGGAAACAATGGGTTAAAGTTAGGGGGGTAAGGGTATTAGAGAAGTATAGCAAACCGGTTGATACAACCGTAAATCTTCATCTACCGAACGTGATTCATGTTTATATTCCTCCCATTGATAATTCTCTTCAAATTCATAATTATTCCACATGAAAATCAGAGATTTTGACCAAGTGTACGTTTTTTCAGACTGAATCATTTTACGTAAAATCAAATAATGTTGAATAACGTCGTGTGTTAATTTTCACCTAACATTATATTGTAGGTTGCAGCTAGACAACAACGATTCAATATGTCTACTAATTCCATTATTAATGACGACCAACAACAACTGGATCCCACCGGAGCATCCATACCCACTACTGTTTGTGGAAATTCAGATGTTGGTTCTCCAAGAGGAAATTTACCTATGCCAGGAGTAGGAGGAGTAGAAACATCTTTATCAAGACTAAGCTTAAGCGCAACATTCAAACGAAATCTGCCACCAAGATATGCTAAATTATTACAAGCAAAAGAATTACAAGAAAAAGAGGCTTTAAAAAGTCGATACGGTCACCAAACGCAGAAAGAGGTATCGTTTTGTGTACATAAAATAACTGTAAATATCACTTGATGAATTAGTAATAGGCAGTTTGAGACAATTAACAAAGGATACACTAAATCTATGTTTTCTATCGGTCAACGCTCACCAACAGGATACGTTAACAGTTTTGAGGCGACTCTGTGAGATTTAAAACTGTGATAGCCAAGTGTTGAATTCAAGAATTTTACCTCTCAAAAACATGCTACACTTCTGGTTAGTGTTAGTTGAACCTAGACAGTTGACAGAAATTTCTAAATATAGATTTGCTACAATTTTATCATTAGAGTCGATCAATACTTTTGACCAGACAATATGATATTGGTTAGCATTCTAGTACCTGCTTTTCAAACTAACGACAGTGGTTCTATGAAGATGTGAGCTGGGTTGTGATTATATTTCCCCACCCATTGACTTCAACCAAGTAATTGATGATTACCAGAAGTTCCGGTTTAAATCGCTTCCGGATTACCTTCAATTATTATAAATTAGAAGCAATGATTATATTTCCTTAAAAAAGCTCGAACCAGATTGTCAGACGAAATGGATTTACTTAAAATTCGATCGCTGAGATTTCCCTCCGTTATTAGATACTGTTTTTTCAGTCAGTTTAGTGGCAACATTCAATTCCTTGATCTGTATGCTATGATACGTTCTAAATATTGGGTTTTCATCTGGTATAGTAGAAATTCACATCCATTTTACCCAGTTTTACTCGGGACTCATACTGCAATCTCCTAGTACGAGGTTCTTTAGCACAGTGGTATGTGGTAACCATAGTTAAACGGTAAACCTTCATCATGAGACGTAATCTAGGGGGGGAGGAGCGGAATGGGATAAGTTTCGCTCCCCTTTATCAGAAAACAATGTATAAACAGGTGTTTTCAAACTATTCTCGTTTGCAGTAGTAGTAGTCTGTGCATATCAAATGTAAGCTAATGAAATCTTTTTTTTTCGATTTTTTTCAACTGTTTTAGTTAAGCTCATCCCTACTGCCACTTGACAAACCTGCTCCTTTAGCACGTAAAGAATCGGAAGCACCCACAGACCTTATTTGTTTATTATCATCATCTGATGTAAACCCAGTTGTACTACAACATCTTCATGAACAGCATATTCAACAACGGCCTCAATGGTTTTAAATTAATTCCATGAATTACGAAGAGAAAATTAAGTAAATGACAATGACAACATTAACACCAAGATCTTATTGAAGAAAAAGAAATAGTAGTGGTAGTAAGAGGAACAGAAAATTCCAATGAATTTATTTGGAATGTCTTCAACATCAACAATCCTGAGATATTATTATTTTGCACTATTCTCAAAAAAAAACTAGTTCAATGCCATTGTATAAGTTTGTTGATTCGTATGTTTTGTCGTTTTAGAAAACAATTAAATACTAAGCTGTATATTGTAATAAGTTAAGATAGAATTGCTTGCTTCCTGTTTTGTTATTTTGTACTGTATTTTTTAGAATAATGAGATTTATTTCAAATCTTGTTGAAATTTAAAAAAAACTAACTGGGACTGTTAATGTAAAACTGTTTTTCAGATAAAGGTATACATATAACCCATGAGTGAGTATAAGCGACTACAGCCAAGACGAAAGGCTTATTTAGGTGGTAATAAATGTTGTGACTAGTAATTCCATTGAGATAAACGCAACCCAAGTGTTTTTGTTCTATTACAGAAAGAATTATAGAACATTAGTTGTGTCATGTGATTTGTGTAGCCTGTTTACGTACGTGCACAAATTATAAAATAGAGGTATGGTCTATAAAGTAAATTTCAAGATATTTAGATACTATTTTAGGCAGATTTTAAAAACTGCGCACTGTCCACTAATAGCCTAAAGGTGAATTTCACAGAGATTTATTACAACTCTCGTAACTCGCGAAAAGTCAGTCATATCCTAGATAAGAATAAATGTCCAAATCTGACGCTGAATGATAGTTTTGATGTATTACATACTAAATAAAGCAATAGATTTCGATTTAGTGGGTCAATAATATCTTGCTTGTTATGTAGTCTGAAGCTCTGGAGTTTGATTTCATATGTGAATGTGACAGTACAAGACATGCGTAATACGTCTCCAGATAGAGACGTTCCTGTGGAGAAAACCATACAAATGTACGAAAACCAACTACCTAAATAATGAGGCGCTTTTTATAATAACTTATAAATCACCGTACAAAATTTATGTAGAACAGGTAACTTCTCGATTAACATACATTTGAAGTTTGGCGAGATAACTAACCCGTTAACTTGGGTTAGAAGTGTTATAACTTGTTGTTTGAATGCTACTTGTTATATGTGGTCGTCGCTGATTGTTGTGTCGAAAACGCTTATCACTTACACTCGGAACGAGGGACCTCCGAAATTCCCACGACGCGAAAGTAAAAACACAAAAACTGGTATAAGTGAATATTTATTAACCTCAAAACACGACGACAGATTGAGAACAATTCATCATATATTAGGCGCAAATCTGATTATCACTTCCAACAGTAAAACTTAAGTTTGTTTGAGACGTCTAAACATTTTTTAAATTAACCTTTTAAATGGGTATAATACTTTGTGAAACTTACTAAAAGTTTCGCGCTTATCATGTAGATTTACTAACCGAATGAGTATTATCATGAAATAGATGCTCATAAGTAGTTAGTCTCAAGTTATTATTCAAATTCAAGATTATAAACCGCTTTCTGGTTCAAATAGACTATTAGGGTTTCATAAATATTGCACGTGTCCGAATCAGAGTTAACAGTGTGATATCCGGACTTAAATAAATGATTGGTTCTAAATTACGAATACTAGCCAGTTAAATTCAAATACTCCAAGTTATTCGTCATATATACCTGTTAGTCTGGTGTGTGTGCCACTGACATCGACAGATATAAGTAGTATGTATCATCAATCGAAAGTGAAATGCCTGGCGGCAAAAGATTGAGAAGATCGAAAGAAAGAGAACGAGAATGATTGGTGTGGAAACGAAAGAACAACGAAGTCTGGGACGATTGATGGACATTTTGCAAATGAAGTATTTATTGTATGGTTCTCAAATTTTACTAAGAGATTCTGTAATTTTGTGTACAAATACTTTCGGTTATCCCCACTGGTGTTTTCGTTCACTATAGTAGAACTAATATGTGTTAAGGCTAACAGGCATTCTTTATTTAAAAGGTTGGGAGAAAATATTTTCTGATGGTAACCGAAGTATGGATCGACTTTGCGAACACGGTTGTACGCTAGTTTACTTCCCACGATCCAATAGTAATGCGAATGACTGGTCTTGCCCTACATTTTAAGTCTCAAACCCTAATTAGAAATAAGGTATTTTCTCATTATCATAGCCATATTTATCCCTATTCTACGGTACTTACAAATTAAAAAATGGATCACATTGAGAATTAACTCGAAAATCTGAGGGACGAACTATTTTTTCATTGGAGGGGATAGCAGTTTCAGAAGGAACAGTTACCTGATTACTTATCTACGCCTGTTACCCCTCGTGGGGGAGCATAGGCTGCTCGCTAACACTTTCCATCCAACTCTGTCCTGGGTAATCCATCCCAGTTGATATTCATCCCTACGATGTCTGAGTCCTGACGCAGTGTGGTCTTTGGTCTTCCTCCTTTCCATTTCCTTTCAGGATTCCGAGTTGGCGCCTGCTTCGTGATGCAGTTTGATTTCCTAATTGTAAGTATTGTCTACCTCCAGCGTCTTTCCCTAATTTCCTCCAGCTGAAATCTGGCTTGTTCTCTGCCACAATAGGTTGTTGTTGATGGTATCCGACCAACGGACATTGAGTGTCTAACGTAGAAAATTTTTTATAAATACTTATACATGTTTGATTATGGTTGTAGTAGTTCTCCAAGTTCCAGCTTCATACAGTAGAACTGTCTTGACGTTCGTATTGAAGATTCTGAATTGATATTGGTTAACAGTTGAGTTGCATATGTTCTTCAACTGTAGGAATGCTGCCCTAAATTCGCCAATCCTTGCATTTACGTCTGCATCTGATCCTCCTTGTTTATCGGTAATGCTGTCAAGGTACGTGAAAGTTCCCACCACTTCCAGAGTTTCTCCATCAAGTTTGACTGGGTTGGTGTTCTCCGTGTTTTGTACACATTTGTGCGTGTGCATGTGATAGAAGGGCCAAATCTTCTGATTAATTCCAAGCTGTTCATTGTATTCCGTGCTCCACTCAGATCTCGAGGTCCTTATAATTCCGTCAACTACCAGAAGAAACAGAAAGGGAGAGAGTAAGTAGTCTTTTCTTATCCCAGTTCTCACTTGGAATACGTCTGTCAGCTGTCCTCCATCCACAACTTCGCAGTGTAGTCCGTCGTATGAATCCCGTATGATATATATAGATCTCAGGTACATCATAGTGTCGAAGAAGGTTCCGTAAGCTCCTCCTATTCACGCTGTCAAACACCTCATAATCAAAGAAATTGATGTATGGTGACGAGTTCCATTCAGTTAATTGCTCAACAACGATCCGTAGTATGGCGACTTGGTCTGTGTACGACCGATCCTTACGGAATTCGATCTGCTGATCTCGAAGCTGGACGTTTATTAAATCTTTCATCCGATTCAGCAACACTGTTAATACTTCTGTTACCGAGAGTAGTGTGAGGTCTTTGTAATTCCCACACTTCCTCAGATATTTCTTTGGTATATCTCGATGAGTTACTTTTCTTTCCAGTCTGTCGATGGCATTGTTTCTAGTTCAAAATCTTCCTGAATACCATATGAAGCATGTTTGCAGTTGTTTCTATATGTGACTTCAGTGCTTCGGCTGGTATATTGTCAGATCCTACCGCTTTCCCACTCTTGACTTGTCTGATAGCCATCCTGATTTATTCTGTCGTTGGTGGAGTGACATCTATAGTAAGATGTGTGTGTGTGTGTTGCTTCGATGTCCGTTTGACCCAGTGGAGCTGGACTATTCAAGAGTTCCTTGAAATGTTCTACCCATCCTACCTCTGTTCTTGAATCTCAGTGATTGGCTTGTCTTCTTTGTCCTTTACCGCTCACTCTGGTTTACCATATTTCCTTTCCAGTTTCTTCGTTGTCTCATATAGTTGTCTCACATTTCCTTGTCCTGCAGCTTTTTCCGCTGTCGCTGCTAGCTCTTCCACGTACTTCTGCTTGTCAGCTCTAACGCTCTTCTTCACTTGTTTGTTTGTTTCTGTGTATTCAGCTTGTGCCCTGACTCTCTCTCTCTCTGTGTTCCTTTTTGACTGCTGTTAATTGCTGTCTTCTTGTTCTTCCTTTCTTGAATCTTGTCCTGTGTTTCGATGGAAATCCCTTCCTTACGATCATGCTTGTTGTGGTTCAGCACCTCCTGTTACGTTGAAGGTAGTGCTTCTTTGATCCCTTTCTACTTGTCCTCCATCACAGTTTCTTCCTTTTTGAGATTTTGTAGGGCTGAGACCTGTTGTTGAAAGCTATCTTGGATTGGTTGAGTTTGTCAACATGTCGAAGGAAGGCTTTGTTGAACCTTTGTACTGCCGTCTCTCCAGCTATCCATTATTTTTTCAGCTTCGATTTCACCTTGGCAATCATCAGCTAGTGGTGTTCTGAAGCAACGTCAGCTCCTTTCCTGGTTCTCAAGTCTTTCATTGACCTCCCGAATTTTTTTATTGATACAAATATGATTTATCTGGTTCTGCGTATTGTGATCCGGTGAGACCCATATAGTTTGTTGTATGCATTTGTGTGGGAATATTGTGCCGCCTATAACTATTTCGAGAATGCACATAGATTTGCAAATCTCTCACCATTCTCGTTCCTTTCTCCCAGTCAGTCCATGTCGTCCCATAATATCTTCATACCGTTTGTTGTCCATTCCAACGGCCAGTTAGGTCTTTCATCATGATGGTCAATTGCTTTCCTGAGCACTTCTCTATGATAACTGCAACCTCTCATAATACTGATCTTTATCATCTTCATTGCTGTCATTGGTGGGTGCATAACACTGGATAACATTCATTGTGATTCCCTTTTCTGTTTTGAAAGATGCTTTGATGATCCTGGGTCCAAGACATTCCCATCCTATATGGACTTTCCGTGGTTCTTCGGACAGCATCAGAGCGACTCTCTAAGTGTGTGGAGCATTCTCTTCTTCGTGACCAAAGTACAGCAATATCTCTCCCGAATATATCCTATTCTGTCCAGATTGGGTTCAATGAGTTTCACTGATTCCGAACATTGTCAAGTTGTATCTCATTATTTCCGCAGTTATTTGGTTTGTCTACCCGATCTCTCACATTGTCCGAACATTTCATGTACCCATATAAGTTGTTGCTCTGGTTGTTAGAAGGGGCATCAGCCTCGTTACTTCCGAAGAATTCGGTATTCATCATTTTTCTTTCAACTCCCAGGGCAGAGTTTAAACGGTTTAATTTGTTTGTTTTGGTTAGCGTTTGTTTAGCAAGGTTGTTTTCTACGGGTTAGGTAAGCTGACGCCACGCCAAACCCTGCTC